ATCAAAATAACATACGAATTAAGTTTCATTCTAATCATTTATTATAGAAAATACTTAGATGGAAATAATATTCAGTGAGAAAATACTTGATATTAGACCAAAAGTACGTACTCTTTCAGTTTCACTTTCTTTGTTTTTTTTACCGTACGTGCAGCATGCATGGGTATGGTCAGGCGTTTAAAAAAAAAATGTTGTATTGCCCTTTGCGACCGACCCAAAAATCTTGAAATCTACGGTCGGCTTTAAAAAAAAAAAAAAAAATTTAGAGGAAACAAAATGTTTAATGAATACAAAATCTGAGAAATATCAACCCAAATAGGGAGAAGAAAGAAAGAAAGAAAAAAATTCCGACCGACCGACTCATGTTATGGCACCTAAAGGGCAATACAACATCTTTTTTCAAAGGCCTTATTGCTGTAAATGTAAGTGGCCTATGTCTACATCGTGCATGGTCTCGATAACAAGCACTTGTATTATTTTGTTAAAGTGGTATCATTTTAGGGTTAAACAAGTATGAAAAGTGTCACGTGTTCTCTCTCACAAAAGCGTGAGTATTCGTGATTTACCGGCTTGCAATGTAAATAGAACCCCAAAGTCAACTCTACACTCTGTAGATAAGATAGCTTTTATCAGTGATAGGTACTCGAACGTTGATTACGGGAGTGATCGTTACGAGCCACTTTTATCATATTTCGGCTCTGAAGTGTTCTAACATCGCCCCCCGCCCCTGGTATAACATACTTTAACTAATACAATCAAAGAAGATCTCTGAACTGTTTCAAACATATTTCACTAGCAAAGATTCCATAGTTTGATTACAGAGCTATGGAGAGGCAAAGGGCCCTTTTACTTCGAAATACAGGGATTGACAGTTCAAGGAGAGTCCTAGCTCTTCTTGTAAAAATTGTCAAAGTAGTCATCCCTCGATATTGGAGAGTCGCGAAAGTATTTTTAAATGACGCTTGAAAGAGGGTTAATTTGGGTGAAAAGCTCAGACTAGTGATCAAAAGTGCTCTAAAATGCAAAATTCCCAACATTAACACGTGGAATTTTATCGAGCATTTGCCATGTTCAGACGGGGTTTTACTATTCGGCGTAAGTTAATCCCTGCAGCAGGACCAACTTGCCACGATTAAGTTCACACGCCCTTCCACGTCCGACCAGCGAAACTTACGGAAGTGGAGGCGCTCGCACAGGTGGACCTCAACCCACCTTCTGCATCTAGCTAAACCGTGCGAAATCTAATTTTCATTTTCGATTGTTACAAACAACCCTCGTGAAAGGTCACATATACTCCCGAGTGTAAATAAGAGCTGAGCATCCACACGGTCAACTTACGCTACCCGCTAGTCGTGTTAGCGAGTCACTCCTGAATAAATTCAGGAGTAAATAGGCGTAAGGTAGGCGTAGCTAACACAACCACCGTTCATATAGACGGTCACTACTCCGACTTTTACACCAACCTCACCATATTTACCCCGAATAGCTCTTGACACAATCTTTACACTGGGGTAAAATGCTTCCGTCTGAACAGGACTTATTGTCACTACGCAACCTCGCAAAATAATGATGTAAGCATTACTGAAGGCATCTTTAGAATGCGAAGTTTTTATGCAGCGAATTGCAAAAGTTTTTTCATTTCATTTTGTTTCAACCTTTAGGTGGCAGGATTCAACGGATTGATATTATATTCAGTGACTGGTGCTTAAGTTTTCTCATTTAAAATGGTGACACATTTTGCAGAATAAGAGGCAGGGTTGATCTAGCTTTTTGCTAGGGGGGGGGGGTGACCCAATGACGATGTGGAGTATCGTCCACGAGCCGCATAGCGTCGAGGACATTTTTCTTGCCATTTTGAACCCCCGTAAGTGATGCTTACCTTACATCTACTAATACAATATGCCATTGTTTTAGTTCACATCACATTTTCACTTGGCAGCCCGAGGGGGGGGGGGGCGCCCCTTAGAGGGACACGTGTATTAACGCACAGTGACGGGAATGTTTGATTCTTGCCGCCATCCTCTATCAAATTGCGTAAATTTACTGATAAAACATAATTTTCTTTACCGGAGAGGAGGGGCAGAGGCGGTAGAAAGAGAGAGAACGGAAATAGAACGTGAATATTTCTATGGGGAAAAGATCACCGTCCCCTCTTCTCCCTATTTTGCTTTTATTTGTTCTCTTGTTCTTCATCCAGCTAGTAAGTACTTAACGCCACCACTCCCGCCCCCCCCCCCAACACACGCACACGCGCACCACATACACACACGTACACACCAGCGGCCCCTTAATGTTGAACTCATTTGAATGCATTTTCATTTCGTAACTGTACAAGACATTTCATTGAATACTATATTAGTAGGCATTAGGATGATCAAATTGCTTAAGAGGAATCTAACCTGATATTACACGCATCCATATCGGAGAGGAGACACAGAAAGCAGCATACAGAGATACGCCACTCAATAAGGCCCATGTTGCAGCTAGGGCAGACAACTTCACGTGTAAGCCCGCCATGTTGAAATAACTCTCAAATCGTACAAGTGTGGTTCGAAGCTACAAATAGAAACTTCAAGAAACTTCGCAACACAATTATTTCGTTAGCTCTGCACGTGGTAATCTATCTTGGGCATATCCTTCAATTCATAATTATGTTTGATCGTCTGATAGCTGTGTGTGCTCATACTTCAAAGTTCAAAGCTCGCTATATATCAAGCAGTTAAAGACCGGGTCATGTACCTCCTATCCAGTTGCCCTCACCCCATAATCAGTGCATGGCGTATCCGGGGTTCCAACCATTTAGAGGGGTACTGATGTCATAGTGGGTACCGGTCTGTAGGTTGTAAAATGCAAGAGAACAAGGCGATGGAAAGAGAGGGTGTGAGATCATGTCTTTTTCTCTCTCTCTCTCTCTCTCTCTCTCTCTCTCTCTTTCTCTTGATATATATATATATTCTTTCATTCCCTTAGGTAATAGTCCAGTAAGTAACACTTAGCTTCTATTAACTTTTTTCCGCTGCAGTTATTTGACGTATATTTGAAAATCATCTAAACTCTTGTTTTTTTCATTATGTGGTGTTTGCCCAAATTGCAAATTAACACCGATATCATTCATTCTCCCTTTCTTTCTTTCTCCGTCCCGCTCTCCCTCACCCTCGCCCTCCCTCTCCCACTCTCTATACTTCCACGTCGCCCCCCCCCCCCCATCGATGGGAAAAGGGCATCGTTCCCCCGAGCCCCGAGATTCCGATTACCCATGTAGTTTGTCCACAGTCTACAGTCATTAAGTGTTAATTGGGGGGTCGATATCACAATCGAATGGCTATGACATAAATAATCAAAATCATGCCTCTAGCGCTTGAATTGAACTGGACTGTTCACTAAATTACCACGATCGAAGAATATTGTAGTCTTGTCACATGTTTAAGTGTGCGAAAATGACAGAAACGTAGTGGTTTGTTCCCTGGACACTCAATTCCAGGGTTGAGGGTTCGAATCTCAGACCGGTACTAACATCCTTTGGGAAGACATTAATCCGCATTTGCAACTCTCTACTCAAGTGTAAATGACAGTTAGCCGATATGCCAGGCCGTTGGCCGCCAGCTATGACCGGGTGATGATGTTCGAACGCGTGGGGGTGTCACGACGCGACATGACGTGATGTGACGTACGCTATAAGAAGCTACCATTATTACGTCTTTCGGATGGTGACGTTAAAGGGTCGGTCCCCAGACGTAAATAATCATATCTGATTGATACACGTCTGTAAAAACCCAATTACACACACACGCACGCGCGCGCAGCATTCAATTCAATTTAATTCAATTCATTTTTATTCATTTCCATTTTCAATTTAAAAAAAACAATGCAAAGGTATATACAATGATAAGCATTTGCAATATATAAGAAGATGAAAATAGGGAACTAAAAAGGCATAGTTTCCCGAACAATAGTTAAGAGATTTACATAATTATACAAACAAAACTAAAAAAGTAAAATACATGACAAATATGATTTCAATTTGGGAAATATAGTGGGAAATTGAAATCGAGCGTAAAGATGCTTTTTTGAAAGTCTCTTTAATCGTGTCAATATAATGATACCACGCCTCAACTATGTTTAAAATGTTCATATAAAATTTTTATAAATCACATTGTAACTAACTCAATCTCCGAGATGATATATATTATGGGCAATAGAATGATGGTAATGATACTACTACTACTACTACTACTACTACTACTACTAGTACTACTTCTACTTCTACTACTTTTACTATTACTACTATATACTACTACTACTTATAGCGATAATAATAACATTAACAATAATAATAATAATAATATTAATATACAAATATATACACTGTCTTGAGAGGCTCTGGTTAAAACTATGCGCAAGAGGTGACTCCAATAGTTCTCCAATGTTACTTTTTGAGTCACCGAGGCATATATTTTTAACCAGTACCTCGAAAAGAAGGCATGGTATTTTATTTTATTTTTATCCTGCATCAAAAATTTCATTTAAAAAAAAATTAACAAATTAACAATTTTTTGAATTTTTTTATTGAAATTTAAAAAATTTAGAATTTAAAAATTACAGTTTTTATTAAAAAGGAATTGAAAATTAAAACAAATAGAAAATTAAGATTTGAAGAAAACAAATTCAAAAATAATCCCCCTCACCAATTTTTTTTTTACTCAAAAATAGTATTCCCAAATAGTTCTTTTTCAAAGTAACATTTAAATAGTTCTGGTCATACGACGAGCTCTCAACCAATCAAAGGCCAATACATTTTTGATGCAGGATATGACAACTAATGATGATGATGATTATGACAATGGGGATGGTGAAGATGATGAAGATGAATGTAATGGTCATAATAGGTTGTGATAATGGTAATATATACGTAAATTACCATAAAAGCTGTGACTTTTCGTAAAATCGTGCTCCTCCTTTCTTTCGAAATCTATTTTTTTTTTTTTTTTACTTTGTTACAGGATAATCTGGTGTTTGATTCTTGTTGCTGCTACATCTATCATGCTGTACCAAATCATCTATCAATGCATCTTCTACTCCACATTACCGATCAACACTCGAGTAGACATCGAATTTGCCGAAAACCTCGACTTTCCCTCTGTTGCTATTTGCAACTACAATGTATACAGGTATATCTTCCTCTCAAATCACTTTTAAAATTAAACTGTTAAATCACCATGAAAGGGCCAAGGAGTGACCACTTTTATTGTATTGTATTGTATTTATTAAAATTCATTGATGTTCATCAATATTCTGTTTATTAACATACAAATATATTTATAATGCAATGTAACAAATTAAGATTCTGTTTATAAACATATATATCATTTTGATCAATTTATAATGTAATGCAACAAACCAACATTCTGTTTGTTAATAAATATATCATATAAATCAATTTACAATGTAGTGTATATAGCAAAACAAAATGAAAATCATATACAGCACAAACACTCTTTTTTTCTTCTTGTAATAACATGACATATAATGCATGAATGAAGTAAATAATATAATGTACCATTATACATCCGAAGATTTAGATATTATAAAGCCTAATAGCAATTTTCTAAATAAATTATAACTCATGCTATACAAAATAGATAAGAGGTCCATGGAGTGCCTTAAATAAATGACTTGTTCACAATGTGAGATTAACCTTCTTTTTTGTTGTACCATGCTTGATTCAACCTGTATAGTGTTGGATGGATCCAGTCATGTTGAATTTTTCAATTTACCTTTTTGAAAAAGTGGTCAACTCCCCGGCCTTTTTAAATGGTGACATTTAAGCTTTTTATGCCTACGCCACCGAAGGTGGTGCCGGAGGCATCATGTTTTCGGGTTGTCCGTCCGTACGTCCGTCCGTACGTCCGTACGTCCGTCCCGTTTGACCGTTATCACAATATCTCAAGAACCATTTAAGATTTAAACTTAAGACTCGGGAATAGTATTTATCACCATAGGAAGACGATCTGATTAGATTTTGGAGTACGTAGGTCAAAGGTCACAGGTCACAGAGGTCAACTTATGAAATTCCATACATTGAGATTGTTATCATGATATCTCAAGAACCACTGGAGATTTAAACTTCAAACTTAGTGATAGTGTGTATCACTATAGGAAAACAATCTGATTACATTTTGGAGCACGTAGGTCAAAGGTCAAGGGTCATAGAGGTCAACTTATGAAATTCCATACATTGAGATTGTTATCATGATATCTCAAGAACCACTGGAGATTTAAAACTTCAAACTTAAGGATAGTATGTATCACCATAGGAAGACGATCTGATTAGATTTTGGAGCACGTAGGTCAAAGGTCAAGGGTCACAGAGGTCAACTTATGAAATTCGATTGTTATCATAATATCTCAAGAACCACTGGAGATTTAAACTTCAAACTTAATGATAGTGTGTATCACCATAGGAAGACAATCTGATTAGATTTTGGAGCACGTAGGTCAAAGGTCAAGGGTCACAGAGGTCAACTTATGAAATTCCATACATTGAGATCGTTATCGCGATATCTCAAGAACCACTGGAGAATTTTCACTTCAAACTTAATGATAGTATGTATCACCATATCATAATATCTCAAGAACCACTGGAGATTTATACTTCAAACTTAATGATAGTGTGTATCACCATAGGAAGACAATCTGATTAGATTTTGGAGCACGTAGGTCAAAGGTCAAGGGTCACAGAGGTCAACTTATGAAATTCCATACATTGAGATTGTTATCATGATATCTCAAGAACCACTGGAGATTTAAACTCCAAACTTGTTTAAATTGCTCTATGGCGGAGGCATCATTTTCGACTGCGCGCAGTCAAAATTCCATCCAGTTTTTAAATGAAAGGTAGCCTACTGTTTGGCTTATTTTGTCAACCCCTCCCCATCATTTTACGGGGTTTGAAGAAGTGATAACCGGACATAATCAGTATAAACGGAGAAAATTACAAAAGCCAATCCACCTTTACTCATAAATGACGGTGTTTTATTCTCACCGGTTGCTCATGCTCATGCAAAATAAGTAACCATACAAAATAGAGAGATAAACAATGTTTATGATGATATTCGTAACACAGTGGGAAGATTGTGGTAATGCATTTGTATCATGTTAAACACAAACTCGAGCTTCGAAAGAAAAATAACGTTTTATGGCCTGAAAATCTTGTTTAGGGGTTTGAGGATATTAAATGAAAAGGCTACTGTCATTCATTAACGTTATTCTGATTACAGTCCACCTTTTGCTACTTTAACAAAATATTTTTTAAAAATGGGCTGCTCGCTGAAAATTATATTTGTCATGTTTATTGTATATCGGAATCAATATATTATAACAACCGTGATAAAAACGGATAAACTAGCTATGATGACAAATATTGCCATGGAGTTGGATACGACCATGGACAAAAAGAATCATTCATATATCCGCTGGGGTATTCGGTAATTATAATTTTAATTAATGTGCGAGACAGGCTGTGTGCCACAACGTCTCCATAACTACCATGAAGGTCGGCTTCCGTGGTGTTATTTGCGTAACTATAACCAATACTACTTTGATCTTAATAAAATCAAAGTGCCAATTATTCATTCATCCGTAAATTACTAAGTTACTAGCATCTCTCTCTCTCCCTCAAACACCCACACACACACACACACTCCCCTCTCTCTCTCTCTCTCTCTCTCTCACCCTATCTCTCTGTCTCTCTCTCTTGCTCTTTCTCTCTCTTTCTCTTTCTCTTCCTTTATCTCTCTTCCTCCCTATTTCCTCTCTCTACTCTTATCTTTCTCTCAGTCTGTCAGTAGGGTGAATTTAGTTCATATTTTAAATATTGTTCTTCTTGTCGTATTGACAAATCTCAGAATTGCTGGGATTTTTAGGAGCATGTTGCCATACTATAATTGTGATTTCAAAATGACCATATCTGCTTGTATCCTTTTACAATGCATCCATTCTATATCATGATTTTAAAAGAATATGCAATTCGACCTCTGGCCGCAAATAATTTGTTATCACCACGCTCAATAAACCGGTCTAAATAAACAAATAAATAGGTTTTTATATGAACAAATAAAAAATAAAATATTAACAATAAAGTATTAGATAAATACAAATACATACACATTAATGGATGAATAAATGAATAAATGAATAAGTAAAAATATCCTAAACTCATTCTTTACTCTTTATTGTTTTTTTTCTTTCTTGTAAGAACATTATCCCAACCCCGAATGGATAATATTTTGTTTCTTCTTCAGCAAATCGTATCTGGAGAAAAACGAGAAGGAGTTTGCTGACTTCCTGAAATATGTAGCAGGTCTGTACGCAACACATCAACCATATGATTACACGTCGTATGAAGGCAACCTTACCACCAAGAATTACACACACTTGAGTCTGAACGCGGCTCATCAACTCGACAGTATCTTATTGTTAAGTATAATGGTAGTGTTCACATGATCTAAACTAACTGGATATTACAGACAGAGGGTTCGATCCTCCAGATGCCACGCGGGCAATTACCTATATGGACTTGATTATTCATTTATTCATTTACTCATTTATTCAAGTCTTGATCTAACACTGGACCTAACCCTACCCACATGTCAACCCTAACCCTAGTTTGACGAATGAAGCCTGAGGGGGGAGGGGGCGAAGAAGATGGGATGAAACTTAGTGGAAGGATGGAAGAGGAACAAGGTATGACCCCCCTCCCAGCTCCTCTCCGCCCCTTCATGTTCTAATCGACTAGTGTCACCTCAATATGGGAGGATCCATGATAGGTCGGAACTCCTTGGTCATAATAACTGCCATAATAACAAACTGGTGTAGTATACAAACAGGCGCGGATCCAGGATTTCTTAGGGGGGGGGCCCACTTTTTTTTTTTGGTCCGAAAAAAAATCGTAACGACTCAGCCAGCCGCTAAATAAGCGTGGGGGGGGGGGGAAGAGGACACTTTTTTTTTTTTTTGGTCTCGAAATTTGAAAATTTGACATTTTGTTCCGTTGGGGGGGGGGTGAGGTCACCTTTTTTAGGTCAGCCATTGGCATATTTTTTTTAATTTTTTTTTTTAATTAAAAAAAAAACACAGAAAAGGGGGGGGAGGGGGTTGCTCCAAAATACACACATAAAAAAACCGAAGGGGGAAGGGTCAACCCCCTAACCCCCTCTCCCCCTTCCGTACGTGCCTACTCGTCTGAAAAAAAGTCTTTCCCCTCCCGCGCAAAGCGCGGAAGCTTTTACGTTTCATTAAATCATTAAAAAAAGAAGACGATTCGTTGTACCGTTCTCGAAAATAATCCTCGTCTGAATAAAGCTTTTACGTTTCATTAAATCATTAGCGAAATAAGACGATTCGTTGTACCGTTATGACTTTTAATCCTTGTCTAAATTCAGTTTCCCCCCTCCCACGCGAAGCGCGGAAGCTTTTACGTTTCATTAAATCATTAAAGAAAGAAGACGATTCGTTGTACCGTTCTCGACCCTTAATCCTTGTCTAAATTCAGTTTTCCCCCCGCTTCGACGTTTCATTAAATTTTTAGAGAATGAAGACGATTCGTTGTTCCGCTCTCGAAAATAATTTAGTTTCCCCCACCCGCGCGAAGCGCGGAAGCTTTTACTTTTCATTAAATCATTAGAGAAAGAGGAAGATTCGTCGTACCGTTCTCGACTCTTAATCCTTGTCTAAATCAATTCCCCCCCCCCCCCCTTCCGCGCGAAGCGCGGAAGCTTCGACGTTTCATTAAATTATTATGGAAAGAAGACGATTCGTTGTACCGTTCCCGACAATTATCCTCGTCTGAATTAAGTTCCCCCTGCCATTTTCTTCCTACGTCCTCTTCCTTTACACTCCTCTCTTTTTTGGCCGGCGTTTATTGGGGGACCACCCCACCGCCCCCCTGGCTACGCGCCTGCTGTCAGATGATTATGTTGATACCTTGTCCGCCCCGGAAGCTCAGGGGTTTAAGGTTTAATTTACGGTCAGATTAGCATTCAGGGGTCCGCCTAAGCGCCCTAGACGGGGTCCAGGGGGCAGAGCCCCGGAAGTTCAGGAGTTTAGGCATTTAATAACGTTCAGATGAGCATTATTTTGATACCTAATTGTTACAATAGCAGGTCACTAATTAGCTTGGGGTTCAGGGGGCGGAGCCCCGGAATCTCAAGGGTTTTAGGCCCTCAATTACGGTCAGATGAGTATCGAGGGACCCGCCTAAGGGCTCTTGGTTGGGTCCAGGGGGCAGATCCCCCAGAAGCTCAGGGGTTTTAGGCGTTTAATTACGGTCAGATGAGCATTTTTGATACCTTATTATTTGTGACACTAGCAGGACACTATTTGGCGTGAGGTACAGGGGGCAGAGCCCCCAGAAATCAGGGTTTTAGGCATTAAATGACCTTCATATGAGCATCTAAGGGCCCGCCTTAGGGCCCTAGGTGGAATCCAAGGGGCAGAGCCCTTAGGATTTTAGGCATTAATTTTAATCATGGTCAGATGAGCATATTTTGATACCCCATTATAATGTGACACTGGCAGTTAACTATTTTTTCTTTCTCGCTCTCTATATTTCTATTTCTATTTTCAAAGAAAGTGTGGGGGAGGGGCTCGAGGATCCCGACCCCCGCCGTTCCGCGGGCCCTGATATGTAGGCATCTCAAGAAGCATTTTCTTGCCTGGCTGTAAATTTAGGAATTTGTCATTTTCCAACAAACGCATGAAGTGAGGAAAATTATCTCATTTCAGCATTATTTGTTAACCACCGTTATGGAATTATAAATAAACCACGTTTGAATTCTATTTCTCCAACCCCCCCCCCCTCCCCTATGCCAGTGCCCCCCCCCCCCCTCCGATCTACACCTTGTTGGCGGGAAAATTGCAACTGATATCCCCTTCTTTTCTTTTCTTCTTCCTATTTTGTCCTTCCCTTTATCTCCTCTTTATCTTTTTTTCTTTCCCTTTCCTTCCTTCTCTTTTATTTTTTTTATTGGGGGGGGGGAGGCAAGTCCCCCCCCCCCGATCTCCTTCTTCCCTCTTTTCTTTTCTTCTTCCTCTTCTTTTTTCCCTTTCTCTCCTCTTTCCCTTCTTTTCCTTCTCTCTCTCTCTCCTTTTTTTTTTTTTTTTTTTTTTTTTTTGCGGGGGGGGGGGGGCCAAGGCACGCTCGGCCCCCACCCCTGGATCCGCGCCTGTATACAAACATACACTGTTATGAGAGGTTCTGGTTAAAATTATGGGCATGAGGTGACTTTAAGAAGTACTATTGGAGTCACCGAGGCCCATAGTTTTAACCAGTGCCTCGAAAAGAAGGCAGGGTATGATTTATTTGTTTTATATATATTTATCCTGCATCAAAAATTCATATTTTTATTTAAATGTGTAAAAAGATATTACGAAATTTAAAAAATATTATTTAAATTCTAAATTTTAATGAAATTAAACACAAATTACAAAAAAAGCTATCAACTAAAAATCTCAACTCCCAGATTGAGCTAATAAATAGTTCATTTTCAGAATAACCTTTAAAATCGTTGAAATATGGTCACGTGGAGAACTCTCAACCGTTTTTTTTTTTAAAACTCGTTAAGAGTATGAAAATATATTGTTTTACTGTATTCTGGGGCCCGTTTCATAAAAACCTGTAACAACTGCTAAATTTGTATGAAAAAATTGCTCTCAGCCAATCAGATGCCCCGATTTCAGTAGCTTATACCGGAGTGTTTGCTCAGTCAGTAGAGCGTCCGCCTCACAACCGGGAGGTCGTGGGTTCGAACCCCGACCGCGTCATACCAAAAGACGTTAAAAGATGGGAGTTGTTGCTAACTTGTTTGGCGTTCAACACTAAGGGACAGAGCAACGTCGATCTGGCGCTGCTCAGTGGCTGCCGGGCTCACGATCAATTGGGCAAAAAGAATTTCCGTTTCGGTTTAATAAAATTTGGAGTGGACTATTAGGCTATTATTATTATTATTATTATTATTACTATTTATAACAGTAGCTTGTGACTTGTTATTGATGTCAAGATTTATGAAACAGGGCCCTGATCCAGTAATGTCCCCTCAATAATATAATTACATCAACTGCCTTTTTATTTCAGAGCTACATTCAACAATGAAGTCATTACTAGGGAGAATTTTTCAATTTCCCTTTTAGAATTCGGTGCTTGTTTTACTTTCAACTTGGGCGCTGCCAATCGTTTGAAAGTTCACGCACCAGGTAAGTATACATTGTAAAGTAATGATAATCGTAATGTGGATTTATTCTGCATTGTAATTTGCTGATAGAGATGACACACATATTACTCATATCATAATGATTACTCGAGTAACGCCTGGCTGGAATGCTCCTCAGTGAGTGGAGATTGTGCACACACTGTGTGCGGGCAAGCACTGAATCCAAAGACCGTCCAGGGTAATAGCATACCTATAACGGGCTTAGAGACATTGTATTAAGCTCTATATATATTTATTATTATTATATTACTCTGCATTATGTATACAAACTTATCAAATTTATCAAACTTATTGGGAGATCATAATTCTCCTTATCCCTATTAATTGGGGACAAAGTTTTTGACCGACTATTTTTAGAATGCTCGTGTTTTTAATCTGTAATAGGAATATCTCACGGATTGCAAGTGGTTCTAGACACCAGACAGTGGGACTACTTCTATGCGACATCATCGGTAGGCTCGGCAATTTCAGCTGGTTTTCAGATCCAGGCATATGACAGTAACACGAGCAGTGCACAGGTCAATGAATACGGGATTGCCGTAGGACCGGGAACGAGGACTCTCATTGGTCTTACACTTTTTGAGGTAGCTTATTGTAAGAGCTGAATTGATGATGATGAGGGTGGTGTCGTTGATGATGGTCGTGGTGATGGTGGTGGAGATGGTGGCGTTGCTATTGGTGATGTGCTGCTGCTGCCATGGTGGTAGTGATGAAGGTGTTAATGGAGGTGGTAATGATGGTGGTGATGGCCGGAGGTGGTGGTGGTGGTGGCGGTGGTGGTGGTGGTGGTGGTGGTGGTGGTGGTGGTGGTGGTGGTGGTGGTGTTGATGGTGATGATAGTGATGGAGGTGATGATGGTGGTGGACTGTGGTGGTTGTTGTGTTGTTGGTTTTTTGGGGGGTGGTGATGATGGTTCTGGTGGAGGAAGTGTTGATGGTGATAATAGTGGAAGTGGTGGTTGTTGGTGGTGGTGGTGAAGGTGGTTGGGTGTTATGGTGGTGGGGTGGAGGTAGTGGTGGGGTGGTGGTGGTGATGATGATGAGGATGAAGTTGATGACGTTGATGGTGAAATAACTTGTATTAGTACTGATGGACGATGATAATATTGATGAAGGTAGTGATGGTGATGGAAAAGATGATGACGTTGATGATGATGATGATGATGATGATGATGATGAGGAAGATGATGGCATTGGTGGTAATGATGATGATAAGCTTCATTGATCATGTTACTGGTGACAATAATATTGTGGAACATGATGAAGTTAATAATGATGATGTTGATGATGATGATGATTATAAAAAATTATGATGATGGTGAAGATGATGGTGATGATGGTGGTGGTGACGGTGATTGATAAGAATTACGAAAAGGGCTTCAATAACTGACTTTATCATTCTATCATCTACAGACCCGGAATTTAGCCCCTCCTTATGGTGACTGCGGTGAGAAGACCTTGAAGTATCACGATGTTTACCGAGTTAGTTCGTGTCATCTCGAGTGTAAAACCGACTACGTGATCGGAATGTGTGGATGCCGAGCTCCCTATATGCCTGGTAAGGATTTCCCGAATCAATCCAGTTCAATGAGCCCCCGAGTCCCCGCCACTTTTTTAAGTACCCCAAACGTGCCCCATTTTACTTCAGATAAGTGACCTTCTTTCCTTCTAAGGGGCACTTCTAATATTAAGTGCCCCTCCCCCTTATCGTAAGTGATCCTTTTACCTCTGATTAGTACCCCGTTTCTAATCTAAGAGAATGCCCCTTTTACTTTGAAAGGTGTCATTTTCCCTTTTAACAAGTACCTTTTCCCTTCTGATAAGTGCCAATTTTAAATACTGATAAAATCTCCCAGGGAGCTTATCGTTTTGGTACCCCGTTTTAATTCAGATGTAATTGACTGAGAAGTTCTTTTGTAAGTAACATAATTATAACATCTGTAAATGCGCGCGAGCGTAACAAGCGAGCTCTAGGGAAAATTAAAGAAAAAGGGGCTCTAAGTCGCCTTGAATTAGGGGTGCATGTTATAGAGAAAGTAAAAGTAGGCACTTATCAAAAGGGAAAAGGACAGTTATTAGAAGAGAAAAGGGTGCTCGTGTCAAATTAAAAAGGGCAATTATCAGAGCCTTTAGAGGTGAAAATGGCATTTCTTGCACCTGAAAAGGGACACTCAACAGAAATGAAATGAGGAGCTTGTGAGAATGGACATAGGGAATCTGTTGGAGGAGAAGGGCACCTATCAGATGTTTATAGAAGAATTTATTAGATGTTAAAAGGGGCATTTTGAAAAGGGGAGGGGCTCATATAAAACAGGAAAAGGGGCACTTATCTGAAGGAAATGTGGTACTTATTAGAAAGAAAAAGGGGCACGAGTCAAAGTATAAAAAAGGGCAAAAATATCACAGTTGAAAAGGGGAATATTTTGAACCTAAAAAGACGTACTCGTCAGAGATGAAAAGAGAGAAAAGGATATTTATTAGAAAAGAAAAGGGGCACTTGTCCTATGTAAAAATGGGCTTTTTGTGGGTACCTGAAAAAGTGGATGGAACAGTGCCCCCCCCCCCCCCCCACCCCCCTCCCACCGGGGAAAGGCAAACATGAGAGAAAAAAACTCGGAAAATCATGTCATTTCAGCAACATTGTAAATCACTGGTATCGTATTAGAAATAAACCACATTAGAACGCCAGTGTCGGGTGGGGGCACATGGCACATTAACCCAAATTTCATAAAAAAACGAACAGTGCCCCTTTCCTTTCGGAATTACAATCTTGCTCATTCTAGGGCCTCTCCTAGCTACATCATTGCATACTCAAAATCCAAATTTCTTGTATGAGAATGATCGAAGCCTACCTGAATTTGTTTCTCTCTCTCTCTCTCTCTCTCTCTCTCTCTCTATCTATCTACCTCTCTTTCTCTTTCTTTATCACTCCTGCCACACATACTACACCCCCTCTTCTTTTTCCCGCCTTTTAGGAGGGGGTGAATTCGAGGGCGTGTGCCCCTTACATGCATAGTTATATTTCATTATTTTTGTATGTCTGCAGGACCTGGTAGAGAGTGCAGCCCACCGGAAATCATATGTGTTCGAGATGCTATGGGTATGTATGTGATATGTAGGCATATTACTTGTTACTTGTAGAGATAATCCCGATGGCAGCTATCATACAGCTAAACTGGGATGTCCGTGCAACGTGCTGGCATAGTGACAGTGCATGAAGTAATTCAAAACAGTGAATGATGTCTATTATTTACAATAAAACGGTGGACGTGCAAGTAAAAACAAAGACGTGGAGTCTACAGTAGCTTGGACCCAACAGGAGGAGGCAACGCTCTGATGATGGGTAGAGCAGCCTCCTGGAAGATGGTCACTGTTGGAGATATTACCGCAGCAGCTGATAGGTGGTTCCACGTCCAGATGGTGCGAGGATAGAAGGAGTACTTGAAGCTATCAATGGAAGCTGGGGGTACTGCATACTTCAGAGGGTGATCATTTCTGCCCAGATATGTAGCTGGGATAATGTGAGTGGGAAAAGGCATGTTGAGTTGATGATGGTGCATCTTGTAAAACAAAGTGGACTGTGCAAGAAGCCTGCGATAATTGTGAAGGGTATCCCATCCCAGTTTGTTGACAAGTGCTGTGACTGATGTTACTCTCCGGTAGTCTTGGTATACAAAACGGGCGGCAGCTCGCTGTACTTTCTCAAGACTTTGTATTGATGTCAGAGTCCGAGGGTTCCAAGCTTCACTGCCATACTCAAGTTGGGGACGAACAAGCATTGTGTAGGCTTTGGATTTGATGTTCTTGGTGCACGGTGATAGAGTTCTGCGTAGGAGGCCAAGGGTTCTATTGGCTTTCTGGGTGGTGAGTTTACATTGGGTGTTCCATTTAAGGTCATGGGTAATCGTGACACCAAGATACTTGTATTGTTTTACTCGAGGAATTGACTCATTTAGTAGGGTGTAGTCCACTGTGATGGGGTGCTTCTTGTTTGTGATTGACAATGAAGCACACTTCTTGATGTTGAATCCCATCAGCCATTTAGTAGACCAGTCTGCAAGAACATGGAGATCTTCTTGCAGTATATGAGTGTCTGAGGGAGAGTCGATACGCCGGTAGATGACACTGTCATCTGCAAATAGACGCATTGTGGACTTGATGTTGATGTATTAATTTAAACCGCCCCGTATATATACTGAACCTTCGAATTTTGTAAAATATATTGTCTGTTTGGAAGCCGGAAGAGCGTTTACTCATACCCTATTACACAGGGTAAAAGCCCGCCTTGCCTTGATTTTATATGATTAAAGATGGCGGTCCCCTGCGTTTTTCAATTTTGAAATGATTTGTCTACTATGTTTTTGGATAGTTATAACTATTCATTTGATTTATATCATGATACAGAGTATGATTATGTATTTATTTTATTGTTGTTAATAATCTATATGTACTTAGTTCGTGTATTACTTTCTACTCTGTTGAAAAACGCAGAAATATAAAATTAAACAAACAAATTTGATTTAATTCTCATTGATTTGTGTTGATATGATCTGATTTGATTTCATTCTAATTGATTCCTTATAATATAATTTGATTTGACTTAATTCTAATTAATTTGTTTTGATATGATTTGATTTGATCTAATTCTAATTGATTCGTTTTAATATAATCTGATTTGATTTAATTCGAATTGATTTGTTTTGATATGATTTGATTTGATCTAATTCTAATTGATTCGTTTTAATATAATCTGATTTGATTTAATTCGAATTGATTTGTTTTGATATAATCTGATTTGATTTAATTCTAATTGATTTGTTTTGATATGATTTGATTTGATCTAATTCTAATTGATTTGTTTTGATATGATCTGATTTGATTTAATTCTAATTGATTCGTTTTAATATAATCTGATTCGATTCAATTCTAATTGATTTGTTTTGATATGATCTGATTTGATTTAATTCTAATTGATTTGTGTTGATATGATCTGATTTGATTTCATTCTAGTTTATTGGTTTTTATATGGTCTGATTCGATTTCATTCTAATTGATTTGTGTTGATATGATCTGATTCGATTTCATTCTAATTGATTTGTGTTGATATGATCTGATTCGATTTCATTCTAATTGATTTGTGTTGATATGATCTGATTCGATTTCATTCTAATTGATTTGTTTTGATATGATCTGATTTGATCTAATTCGAATTGATTTGTTTTGATATGATCTGATTTGATTTAATTCGAATTGATTTGTTTTGATATGATCTGATTCGATTTCATTCTAATTGATTTGTTTTGATATGATCTGATTTGATCTAATTCGAATTGATTTGTTTTGATATGATCTGATTCGATTTCATTCTAATTGATTTGTTTTGATATGATCTGATTTGATCTAATTCGAATTGATTTGTTTTGATATGATCTGATTTGATTTAATTCGAATTGATTTGTTTTGATATGATCTGATTCGATTTCATTCTAATTGATTTGTTTTGATATGATCTGATTTGATCTAATTCGAATTGATTTGTTTTGATATGATCTGATTCGATTTCATTCTAATTGATTTGTTTTGATATGATCTGATTTGATCTAATTCGAATTGATTTGTTTTGATATGATCTGATTTGATTTAATTCGAATTGATTTGTTTTGATATGATCTGATTCGATTTCATTCTAATTGATTTGTTTTGATATGATCTGATTTGATCTAATTCGAATTGATTTGTTTTGATATGATCTGATTCGATTTCATTCTAATTGATTTGTTTTGATATGATTTGATTTGATCTAATTCTAATTGATTCGTTTTAATATAATCTGATTTGATTTAATTCGAATTGATTTGTTTTGATATAATCTGATTTGATTTAATTCTAATTGATTTGTTTTGATATGATTTGATTTGATCTAATTCTAATTGATTTGTTTTGATATGATCTGATTTGATTTAATTCTAATTGATTCGTTTTAATATAATCTGATTCGATTCAATTCTAATTGATTTGTTTTGATATGATCTGATTTGATTTAATTCTAATTGATTTGTGTTGATATGATCTGATTTGATTTCATTCTAGTTTATTGGTTTTTATATGGTCTGTCTGATTCGATTTCATTCTAATTGATTTGTGTTGATATGATCTGATTCGATTTCATTCTAGTTTATTGGTTTTTATATGGTCTGATTCGATTTCATTCTAATTGATTTGTGTTGATATGATCTGATTTGATTTCATTCTAGTTTATTGGTTTTTATATGGTCTGATTCGATTTCATTCTAATTGATTTGTGTTGATATGATCTGATTCGATTTCATTCTAATTGATTTGTTTTGATATGATCTGATTCGATTTCATTCTAATTGATTTGTTTTGATATGATCTGATTTGATCTAATTCGAATTGATTTGTTTTGATATGATCTGATTTGATTTAATTCGAATTGATTTGTTTTGATATGATCTGATTCGATTTCATTCTAATTGATTTGTTTTGATATGATCTGATTTGATCTAATTCGAATTGATTTGTTTTGATATGATCTGATTCGATTTCATTCTAATTGATTTGTGTTGATATGATCTGATTTGATCTAATTCGAATTGATTTGTGTTGATATGATCTGATTCGATTTCATTCTAATTGATTTGTTTTGATATGATCTGATTCGATTTCATTCTAATTGATTTGTTTTGATATGATCTGATTCGATTTCATTCTAATTGATTTGTTTTGATATGATCTGATTTGATCTAATTCGAATTGATTTGTGTTGATATGATCTGATTTGATTTCATTCTAGTTTATTGGTTTTTATATGGTCTGATTCGATTTCATTCTAATTGATTTGTGTTGATATGATCTGATTCGATTTCATTCTAATTGATTTGTTTTGATATGATCTGATTCGATTTCATTCTAATTGATTTGTTTTGATATGATCTGATTTGATCTAATTCGAATTGATTTGTTTTGATATGATCTGATTTGATTTAATTCGAATTGATTTGTTTTGATATGATCTGATTCGATTTCATTCTAATTGATTTGTTTTGATATGATCTGATTTGATCTAATTCGAATTGATTTGTTTTGATATGATCTGATTCGATTTCATTCTAATTGATTTGTGTTGATATGATCTGATTTGATCTAATTCGAATTGATTTGTTTTGATATGATCTGATTCGATTTCATTCTAATTGATTTGTTTTGATATGATCTGATTTGATTTAATTCGAATTGATTTGTTTTGATATGATCTGATTCGATTTCATTCGAATTGATGTGTTTTGATATGATCTGATTCGATTTCATTCGAATTGATTTGTTTTGATATGATCTGATTCGATTCAATTCTAATTGATTTGTTTTGATATGATCTGATTTGATTTCATTCTAATTGATTTGTTTTGATATGATCTGATTTGATCTAATTCGAATTGATTTGTTTTGATATGATCTGATTCGATTTCATTCTAATTGATTTGTTTTGATATGATCTGATTTGATTTAATTCGAATTGATTTGTTTTGATATGATCTGATTCGATTTAATTCTAATTGATTTGTTTTGATATGATCTGATTCGATTTAATTCGAATTGATTTGTTTTGATATGATCTGATTTGATCTAATTCGAATTGATTTGTTTTGATATGATCTGATTCGATTTAATTCTAAGTGATTGGTTCTGATTTTATTTGATTTGATTTAATTCGAATTGATTTGTTTTGATATGATCTGATTTGATTTAATTATATTTGTCAATTAGAATTAAATCAAATCTGATCATATCAAAACAAATCTGATATGATCTGATTTGATTTAATTCTTATATTGATTTCTTTTGATATGATCTGATTTGATCTAATTCGAATTGATTTGTTTTGAAATGAGCTGATTTGATTTAATTCTTATTGATTTGTTTTGATATAATCTGATTTGATTTAATTCTTATATTGATTTGTTTTGATATGATCTGATTTGATTTAATTCTTATATTGATTTCTTTTTATATGATCTGATTCGATTTAATTATAAGTGATTGGTTCTGATTTTATTTGATTTGATTTAATTCTTATATTGATTTCTTTTGATATGATCTGATTTGATCTTTTTCGAATTGATTTGTTTTGAAATGAACTGATTTGATTCAATTCTAATTGATTTGTTTTAATATAATCTGATTTGATTTATTTCTAATAGATTTGTTTTGATGTGATTTTATTTTATTTTACTTGTGCTAGATGTCTACGGCAGAAACTCGAGCCAAAGTTGTCTATGTCCCGTACCATGTCACACAGTAAGGTATGCCGCCACTATCTCGCAAGCCAAATTTCCTTCAGATTTCTACAGCCAACTCCTAGCAGCTCAGCTCTCAGCGAATCCCAATCTAAATGTGGACGCAGACTACTTCAGGTAAATGGACTTCACTCTTGCCTAATTAGACCAGCGTTTTGCAACCGGGGTACTGCAGGACATCTTTAGGGGTGCCGTGAGAAAAATTTATGAAATATCTATTTCTATCCATTATGAAATAAATGTGAAGTTCGTGAGAAAAAAAAGGCCAACATGTATGTATTTTCATGAAAAAATTGTATTTTAAAGACAATTAAGTGTCTGTTTTCCTAGCTCGCTTTGCTCGCTCGCAACATTTAAAACAGTGTAAATCAGGGCTGTCAACTTTGGGGAACTGCTTCGAGGGAGATCGTTTGCAATTATTTTTGGCTCAACGGGGGGAGGGGGTAGGGGGGGGGTAGGGGGGGTTGAAAAAAAAATTGTGGACTGAAACTAAGTCGTGTCTGGCGGATGGCAACGTGAAAGGTCCCCTGACATTATTAATCCTATCCGATTGATACATGTCTATAAATATCCAATGATGCATCAAACTTTTGCTACAATATAAATCGAATTCTTATTTTTCCTTTTCCTCGCTTATGGTCTCTCTCTCTCCCTCTTTCCCACCCACTTTCTCTCCCCTCTTTCTCTTTTCTCTCCTCTCTCTCAATTTATCTCTCGCTCTCTTTATTCCTAATACAGTGTATATATCTTTATATAATTATATACTCGTTCCACCCTCGTCCATCCTCGTTTTAACCATTTGATAAATTCTATCTCTCTATGGCAGCAACAACTTGTGTCTCATCAATATATTTTTTAACGAGCTTATCCGTCAAACGACGACACAACAAGAGGCATATCTGTTCGTCAGTCTACTCAGTAAGTCTTAAGACCTCTTACTTCTTCATATCATAACACAATAAGGGAGTTTACAGATAGCACATGGTACAAATGACCTCAAATATCCACAGATCTTTTACACATGGAGAAGTTCCACTTTGAGAATCTTAGAATAATAACTGCCAAAGTCCTACTAGATGTGCTTCATGAATACCTTTTGTTTGACCTCTTGAAAAGAATACTTCCAGGATACTGCGAATCATAGAATGTACCGTTGGTGCATAAATGAATAATGTTACATAACTTTCATGAGCGCATATCCAGTATTCATCTCTGTGGGTTTTACCATTTTGGTACAAATGACCTTTATCTGCCCATGCGCAGATTGTATCTGTAAACTCCCTTATTGTTATCATAATTATTAGCAATGTCGTGAGAATGAGTATCATTTCACCGTAGCTGGCGGCATACAGAAAAAGGGCTTTTCAAAGGTCAATTATCTGTGGTAGGGTCCATAATTATCGCTTGTAATATTTCAAAGTGAGTATAAACGAGCCTGCTGAATAAACACGGCATACCCAACGTAGGGTTTATATAATTATTCTATGTGTATTTCATACAGGTCTGCCTCTAGACGGAAGTTCACACCGACCAACTTTTCAACAACCATTTTTCTCTCTTTATTTTCATCTCTTCTACATAATGACATATATAACATTGTGAAATGATTTTGTACACTGTCTTCCTGTTTTCTTTTCTTTTTAATCTCTTTAACGTAAACTGTAAAAGTACATAATGATATTGCAATTATCGTTGATTTTTCTTTTTAATCTCTTCTACGTCACTTAATAGTGTATAATGACCTTTTCTCCCCAATTCCCATTGCTCTTTTCCTTTCCATTTCTTCTATGGAATTTCATTTCCTATTTCTTCTAGTTGTCATCATTTTTTGTTACCCTACAGTGCATAACGATCTTTTCCATTCCACTTTTCTTAAATTTTGTTATCTCCTGTCGTCGACTTTAGCAATCATATTTTCAATTTCTAATTTTATCCTTTTTGTTTTCATCTCCTTTACATCAGTAACCTTTAATAGCGCAAAATGATCTATTCCGTGCGAGTTTTTTTCTCAGTCTTTTTTAATTATAATGTTGCATAGAACCTATGTTATAACAGTGTAGCCTAAACATTTTCATTTCCTTCTATTTACATCTCTTTTTTGGTATCCTAAACAAAACTAAACTAGTGCATAACGATATTTTCCCTTTACCGAAGTTATAACAGTGTAACCTATCCATTTCCTCTTATTTGCATCTTTTTGGTATCCTAAACAAAACTAAACTAGTGCATAACGATCTTTTCCCTTTACCCAAGTTATAACAGTGAAGCCTATCCATTTCCATTTCCTTCTATTTACATCTCGTGTGGTATCCTTAACAAAACTAAACTAGTGCATAGCATCTTTTCCATCTGTTATCCGCCTCTCTTCCGTAACATATAACGGTGCATAATGATATAAATAGTGTTTTGTTTTCCATTTTTCTTTTCTTGTTCTCCTTTCTTTGGTACCATAGGTGACATCGGAGGCTCTCTAGGTATGTGGATGGGAGCAAGCATTCTAACAGTCGTTGAAATCTTTGATATCATGGGTTATTCTCTATTCAGGACCAGAGCGCCACGATCCAATCACATGGTATAAGCCAGGGCCCGCTCGCTCGCAAATAAAATATTAATATCATCACACCCGGGTGCCCTCTTTTCCCAGAAAGTGCCCCCTTTTGTTGGTGCCCCCCCCCACACTTTGAATGACGCTCCGCCGCCCCTGGAATGCTTAAACCGCTCTACCTGATCATAAATACTTTAGCCCCCCCCCCCCTACCATCGCGCATATGGTTTTATACTCTAGACCAGAACGTCATGATCAAATCCATTGGACATAGGCATGGACAGGTCTCTCACCCCCCCCCCCCCCCCCCCCCCCCCTCCTGAACCAAATTGATGAGAAATAGCAGCCATAAGATTTTGGATCAAATGTTGGTGGGGTATAATATATAGATTTCTTCATGTATGTTCCTCCATGTACATTTAAACATCTTAATGAGAAGTATTTCGAACCCCCCCCCCCCCCCCCGACTCCGGGAACAGAGGGACCGCATTCATGTCCCCAAAATGTCCGGTAAAGGGGTACTTTTTCACGCAGCAAAGTCTGGCTCGTAACACACACAAAATCGGTCCGTATTGACTTTACACATCGGACTTAGGGGGTGTTTTCAAGGAGGGAATATGCATAAGCGTACCCTAAATAACACTGAGTGGGGGGAGGGTGGAAGGGGGGGGGGATTTTGAATCACGCTTGAAGTGTTGTCTTTATCATAGATATGCTTAATATTCGCTAGTGAAATGTAGGTGTGCTTTCAAATACATATGCGTGATTATGATTATTTCTTTTTGTAAACTGATCTGGAAACTTTACCAGTGAAAAACGAGTTTCTCTATGGATAATTAATGCTTAATCTCAATTTCAATACTTTTTTTGAGTGATTGTTAGTTTTGTTTGTACTCGTGATTAATGATATAATTACGAGTCTTTATGGTTCGATATTAAAAATTAATGATACCTTGATAAACTACGTGTCATCTAGGTATTGTCAAACTATGCCACGTAATGATGTTATGCTTAATTATGGTATTTCATGTGTGTATTAGTGTGAAGAAAAATATTGGAGCAATGATAAGTCCCTCATATCTAGCCAGAAACATCGTCGTTGAAATTGCCTAACTTTACACTTTGCCCGAACATAGTGATATAACAAATATAATAATAAAAATAATTCAGGGTTATTAAAGAATACTGGTCGGTAGTAAAAGAGTAATATTATTGTTTGAGAGGCACCCCGTCCGATCCTGAACTATATGCGTTACTGTATTAAAGCTGCGACAGGATGTTTTGCCCCTCCCGAATCCAAGGTCTGGAAACGTCACATGTCGGGATAATAATAGGAGAGCTAAAACAAAAGGTACCATGTAGCGCTTACAAAATTACAGAATATAAAGATCGAGGAACATGAAATACATAGATTCATAAACGTTAAATTACGGAGTGAAGACGTATATTTTAAGGGATCATTTGAAAGCGGCAAAGCATTTATTTCTCTGATGGAAAGTGAGATATTGTTCCATGTTTTCGAAGCAGCAACCGTCAAACGTTTTTTTGGAGGATGAGGGTCTGGATTTGGGAATTATTAGTTTATATTTGACAGTTGTTGAGCACAGCTAGGTTACGAGCTGGTGTGGTGTGTATATTCGGAGTGTCATTAAGATATTCAGATCAGCTAGATGAACAAAAGACATTTGTGTCTCCCTTCCCATTTTTTATTATTTATTTATTTTTTATTATTTTTTATACAATGCCCACTTACAAAGTACATTTTAAGCAGTTGCTATGTCAGCAATCTCCAGACAACACCATGAAAAGAAGGGTTTCAATGGGCTATTATATCAAAACATGCATACCACTCTCTTTTGTTCATGTTTATCTAGCTGACCGATGATTGACTGGCACGATGATGTTACAGAAGTCATTTGCTTTTGGAGGATTTTTTTTAGGGATGGAGCTTAGCAGGTAAAACTAAGTAATATAACAATGATATACAAAAATTGACAAAATGTACATCAAAAATTCAAAATATATGTGATGTAGGCCTATACATTATTACAGATCAACAACAGTCAACATGCATTTGTGATTTAGTCAACCTGTAAAATACGTGATTTAACAGGTTTTCTGCAAACTTGTACTTGTGACAGTTTCGTGAAAAGCTACCCAGGTGAATAGCGATTCTTACAGAGAGTCGGTTTCACAAACAAATAACGCATACACAAATTCTTCAGGTATCTCGATAATTCTTTTAATCCTCCTTCCCACACACTCTCTATGAACACATTAACATGATTTGATTTGACAGCCATCATCTCAATAATCATACATACATACAAGTACATGAATATTCTCATCCTGAAAAACAAATAAAACATGACGTAATATTATATTTGTATCCTGCATGACATCAAAAAATGCGCTCCAAATGTTGATTCAACTTGAAAGGGATAGTGTACATGCCAAGGGGAACCCTGTGGAGTTATGTCTGCATTGTTTGTTAATGTATACATGAAAGTTGTCAATAAACGATCATCTCTCTGTGTGTCTCTGTCTCTTTTGAGTGGAATAATTTAAACCTGTGTTGCTTCAAAGGCCTACCGGTACACAGATATGATGTGGTCAAAAAATAAAAAATAAATAAAATAAAAAGCTTGACATGTTGCAAAGTTCGGTAGGATAGGGGAAGCATGGATCAACGTTCTGTACCTTATATCACACAGATCAATGAGTTTGCAACTCTGCAAGGGGGCCAAGGCTGCAGTATTTGTTCTTTTCCAATAATCCAAATAGGGCTTCTAAATATTTGTTAAATTGAAAATTCTTTCCCTACTGGGGCACTTTTTTGAAGCAGTTTACCTCGTCATATCTGAAGGAGACCTAAAGGTAGTTTTTACTTTTGTAGAGTTTCTGATCCAATTAACCCTAAAAGGGCTGGGGCAGAACCCACAACCCCATTTGATAATAAATGTACCCGCAGCGTAAAAAATCGCCGCCGAAATGAACATTTGTATTGTACACAATCCAGAAATGTCAATTAGCGAGGATGTGAATAGTGACTATTACCAATAATTTGAAAACTATTTGAGGTATAGATATGAAATAATGAATAATGAAACGCCATGGCCTTAAATTTGACAAGATACTCTATCTGTAAGCCAAGTATCAGAATGTCTCATCACTCTTTGGCCGAGATGGGGAGGGGGTGGAAGCCACCTCTCCACCCCCCCCCCCCCCTCCCCCTCCTTTAACAGTGAGAGCACCATAATAACCCAGCCATCATAGGGTTAAGGTTAAATCTCCACAAAATACCCAAAAGGGAGCCAACACTGTACATTCATAATACAAACAGGGCAACTTGGAGAAAACAAAAATAAAACAGTTCGCATAACAACTGATAAAGAAAACCAAGTTCATATTTTGCAAACCTCACATTATAACAAAATGTAATTTACATGTTAAAAAAAATTAACAGAACCCATACAAAACCAAACATATTTGGGAAGTTATATTCTGTTACGGCTGTACACTAACGGCTCGTGCAGATATGAAGCCGTAAACTTTTAGCTTAAAATGTACAATTTTAATTCACATGTATTAGTATTCAGTAGTACTTAGTCACATAATGCATGAAATTGGAAAATGATTGAAGAATTCTTGCAATATGTCCACCATCACATACATTTTGATGTAGTGCTACATTTAAATCATCCATTAAATCATTATTTGTCAAGTCAGCAAAATACATTCAATTCAACGAAATATTTGCAATCAATATAAATATCAAGCTTATCAGTACTTTCTTCTTTATGAAACACATATACTGTAAACGCAGAAATATTTGTGGTACATTAATATTCGCGGATTTTGCGCTTAAATCGGTGTCCGCGAATTTTAGAACCTGCGAAAATATAAACATGACTTCTTATGCGTGTTCTTTAGGGGCTGAATTTGGTGCAACGTGAATTTAAGAACCGCGAATATGTTTTGGGGTCGCTCAGCGCGAAAATAACAGCGTTTACAGTAGTCAGGAGTTAAGACTGCTTATTCGCAAGAAGACAAGACTTTGAACATGATACAATGTACATATATGCAATGTTCTCTCGAGTGCATTTAGCGTTACATATCACAAGTGCGGGGGACTTTAAAAGCAAAGAAGAAATCAAGGGCATCTCTAATTCATTTTCAGGAAACTTCCAGGTCGAAACAAACTCATGTAACCAAATGTGAATATGAAGTGCATCAATACAATTCTTTCATTTACCTGTAATGAATAATTGTATTTCAATAGTCAGAATGCAAAATACATATATAAATAATATAAGTTGTTGTAATAGGTAGGGAAAGCCATAATGTTTGTACTACATGGCGACAACTAATGTATTCAGTTCTCATTCTGACTACTGAAATACGATTATTTGAAACAGATGAATGAAATAATTTGTATCAAGGCACTTCACAAAGACGTATGCATTAGATTTGGTTTCATCATAAAAATGCTCCATTCGGCTTCAAAGCCAGGCGACATAACCTCATGAAATACATTGAAAAGTATTAGTACACGAAGAATCAATCTCAATTTATGTGATACATATCTTTTCTTTTCAAAATCTTCAATCATAAAACCAACATGCTATTCAAATTTCGGTGAAAGATATGTTGTAAAGCGGTAGATGTGCATTGCATTCAATAAACCTGTTTACTAATTTTAAGCATAATTTAATCGATTTTTAAACAAACATTTCTCTTAACAACTGAAAAGCTTGTCTGAGGCTTGCCTGACATAGCAACAATTAATGTATGCAAAGTGAATTCCATCCAGAGATGCTATTTTGCATAGCAAGTGAATTTAATAGTTGATAATCAAGGGTTTGGGAGAGAAACTTGCATATATTGAAATACATTAGTTAACAGGTCTACTCTTATATCAACTTACAGTACATATCAGTCCATTAAAAATAAACATTTAACAATCACCTGGACATCTACACACTGGTCATTCTGCCCTTCATAACATCAGATTGGTCAAACTTAGTTCGAACTTTCTATCTGTACTCTCACATAGCAGACCTCTGTTTTCTGTAGATAACATTTTAAAGTCTGAATGGATTAAGTCCATATAAGCATTCAGCCGTGCATTTCGAATCGACATGTTTAGAGATTGGTCACCAATCTAGCATTAATAGCATACCACTTCAATGAATAGACGATGGTTTCAACAAAGTCCATCATCTTAATTTTTGGAGCACTTTAATTTGACCAACACAAACCAGCGCAGGTTTTTTTATTCATCCTCACGAGTACCGGTACTATTTACAGAGTCTGAAAATTGATATTTCATTTTTTTTCAAATCAGTCGGATCCAATATTTGTCCGGTACAAAAGGAGGAAATAGAATACATGAATATATCAAGGATTTTTCTTCTTCCAAGTCTCTACTTTGTATTTACACTGTAATGATGTCTTACATTCAGTATTATATCAAATAAACAGGCTCATTAGGCTCTGTCTTTTTAAGGTCATATAGACCAACCTATTAAACAATACGCATATTCCCCTCGCTTAATACCTTCGTGAAGACGTGATCTGCCGTGTGCGCAATGCTAACCTGTGCGAGAACGTTGAAGTCGCAATACCAGCAACAAATTATTGAGCTCTTTGGGGAGTACCCTGCAAGCGCTCTCTAATGCCCAATGTTTTTTGGAAGAAAAACTAATTCAAGTCATCAAAACACAGTAAGCATGTGTGGACATCATTTGGGCAACTGCAAAACAAACTTAAAGCCTGTCTGTACTAGTTTGGCCAGGGGGATTAGACCTCCCTGCAAGGTCACTGAAGGTGGTTATCTTATCAAATCAGCTCTTAATTAACATAAGAAAAAGAGGATCATGGGGGACCAATAGGCACCTATTAGGCATTGTTTGCTATATAGAGGGCGCAAGTACATGTAGCTTTAAATAGCGCAGTGGGGCTTTAAACCCGTACAATTTTGGTTCAATTATTGTGTGAAGTTTGGCAGCCTTTTTTATCCAGACTGATATTATACATATATATTGCATGCTCCGATGTTCAATAGAACAAAATCAGAATTTCCTGAGTGATGTTATATTTCAAAGAGGCTGCAGAATGAGGTTGAATCATAACGGCACGAGGGAAATTCTGAATTTGGAGCTGAAATGGATGCAATATGTTATATAAAATCAAGGGTACATGTATTTGTGATTCCATACCTTGCTATTTTGGAGTCGGGCGCTCTCGATTACGTTCAGACTTATTGCGTTTCGCGTCAGATCCATGAAGCTAAGACAATGGAATCAATGGGTCCGTGCAGGGAAGAGGGTGCGCAGTCTAAATCATTTATGTGCACATTATACCGGGCAAAAAAAAAGGTGTTGTACTCCACAAGCATATAACATCATGTTGAGTGTCATGTGATAGCTTCTCAGCCAATGGGATGCTCTCCATTACAAACACCCTATTTTATAAAATTATTTGTATGACGACCAGGACATACAAAGATAGTAAAATTGAGAAAATATAAAATATCATCCTGTCTGATATTACAAGATTAAGACCATATCCTCACATATAACTGCTACATATGACATAATAAATTCTTAATTTTTTTCACAGTACTTAACCAAACTTTGCTCGGTTCAACAAGTAAGAAATATACACTTCGATGTCAATTACAGTTTATAGTTTACATGTATATAAATAGTCTTGAACAGGGATAATTCCACGCATCTGCTCACCGAATTTGGAGAATATTTGAAAAGAAAAAGCAACACGAAGTCTGGGTAGTAGTGAGGAGGTAGACTACATGTAACATGTTCCTTTCATTTTCCAGGCTCATTAAAGCTTCTCCATTTTGAACGTTTTTAAAACGTGAAAAAATGTCACATTCAGTCATCCTGGGTCCTCTAAAATCCAGCACTTGCTATACACCTGCAAGCAGGAAAACCCAGTCAGTGTGAATGCTTCGGATTGGTAAAGGTGAACAAACCCTGTGCATTGCATCCATTTCAATGAGAATATACAGTCAATGCAAGACGAAAATTCCTACATGTAAGTACATACATTACGAGGGGATTGGTGCAATGAGGTGCTTACCCGCGAGCGTGTCGTTCTGAGAAACGCGTTGTTACATAACACAATATGATGGAGGGTTAGACTTGCCTAGAGCACAGCTTATTGAGAGGGATAGTTGCGACAGTCACATCTACACGTATGCAAGATGGGTTGGTGGTTTAATCATGTTGCTCCAAATAGTTCCCTCCCATGTACAATCTCTATGAGAGGGAGCTATTTTGGGGCTTTATGAAATGCCTGACCGATCAGAAGCAACTTCCGGTGACGCAACTATCTCTTTCAAGCAGCTATGGCCTAGAGCTGTCATTGGCTGAATTTCATGTTTTAGGATAAGAATTATGCCAATAGACCAGTTCATGGTTAGCACATGTCCCAAATGACCCCGAATATCCACAGAATTTCAAAGCATGAAGAGATCCAACTTTGTACATTTTGAAATAATCCCTCCTACAGCGACGGAGGTGCCTCATAAATAGCCTTTGTTTCCCCTTTTTCAAAGAATACTTCCACCTGTGTATCATGGAGTGCACTGCTTGTACATAAATGAATAATGATGACATATACGTGTCCAGTATTTTTTTCTCCATGTATTTCACAATTTGGTCGGCTATGACCTTTATCTGCTCATGCTCAGACTGCAACTTTGAACTGGCTTATTGCATGTAACACAATTTTTCACAGAAATAGGGTTAGCACCTCATTGTATACACCCAGTCACACTGACCACTACTACCAATCAACCAACAAAATGACTGAAAACATGACCAAATATAATTTGCCACGAACCAATCAAGCAAACTGTCCACAAATAGTCCTAGGACAATCGACAACAAGCCTCCAGAAAATTGTCAGCGTAGGCCCTTTCAAGCATGTACACAAGATAAAAAAATTACAGCTGACAAATTCTTGAAATGACTCGAACCGCTCGAAGGTCGATATCACCTGTAATAGTCTTACAAAACAATGACTGTAGCTCAATATCATATCGAACAGCAGACAGGGATGCCAGTTAGAATTGATCAGAGGGCCTGAAAATCACCTAGAATGAGCTATTTTTTACACAAAAAAGCCTCAACTATAGTCTGGAAATAACTCGCCAGGGCCGGGATTCAAGCTATTGCCTGAAAACTGGCATCCCTTAGCAGACAGTTTTGTTGATTATTGGTTAGTGAGAGGTTGGTTTAAGGTTGGTTTACGTCTGGTTTGGCAGTGTCACTGGGGTTTTACACCCATCCCCCTCATAAGCTGCTACCCCTATTCTATCTAGATCTTGACCATACGACTGCACACACGATGGCTAACGCTGACAGACCTGCTATTGCAATGAAGCCTACACCGGGGTTCTCTATTCTGAAGTTCAGCGCTGAAATCTGTAGAAAGGACAACGAGAGAAGAACATGAAAAGAAATTATGATCGCTTTGAAGGGAAGTATACCAATAACGCCTTTCAGGCTCTAGATATACGATATCATCAAAACTACCAAGTTTGTTGAGCAGGCCTTATTTTTTTTATATTTCTATTTTTCTTTTTGGTCGGAGGTCAGTTTGAAAACGACGTAGGTTTAAGCTTAAAGCCCCCCTGCACTACTTGTAGCTACTTGCTCCCTCTATATAGAAGAGAATGTGTAAGCGGTGCCCGTTGGTTCCCCATAATCCTCTTTTTCTATGTTAATTGAGAGCTGATTTGATGAGATAACGACCTGTCAGTGACCACGCTGGGTGGTCTAATCCCTCCTGGCCAAACTAGTGCAGACAGGCTTTAAAATACACCATGTTACATTGCTAGGCAGAGTAGTTTTCGGGAGACGAATGCTAGAACTAGTGGGGCCAGATTGTTGCCTAGGTAATTTGAATGATGGAACAATAAGTGCGAGGGATCGCACAGAACATAGAAGATTCTGAAGATATTTTAGGAAACCTTTTGCGGATTGTTACCAAATCATCGATTAATTTATGTTCTTCATGACATCGCTTCTTTCAGACTTTCTCATCAAGTTGGACTTTGACACTACCCTGAAGCTCTGTCGGATTAAAGCTGGGATATTTATTTCTCTGATAAAATAAAGATTTGAATAAATAAACTAACTAGTTTCAAGTGACAATCTAGTAAGGAGTCAACCTAGTTTGCTTATTGATCCACTACATGTATACGTTTAATTTTAATGGAAACCTACAAATAATATTATCACATATTATCACAATATTGTCAAATTTTGGGCAGATTTTCAACGAGGGATTTCAGGAGTTCAATATTAGCAACTCTTTAATCTTCAATGTCAGCTCTGAGGCAAACCAAAGAGAAAAATCTAAACTATAAAATAAGTTCAAGAATGTAGCGAATGAGAAGCATCGAAAATGGATCACGCAAGCATTAATTTTTACCATATATGCACGGGAAGTGCATTTTGGTGATAACAATCGTTAATTTCTCAACTTTATACTCATATTGTAGACCCATCTTATAAGAAAACTACAGTGTAATACATGTTTTTAACTCCTGCATTAGTGATATGCACTGCACTTGGTTAAGTCACAATGAGACGGACAATGAACTTGACAAGTCTTGCTCATTATCCTACTGTGACTTAACCTGCGTGCAGTGCATATTCACTAATGCACTCACAAACATGAATTACTTGCATACGTACCCAGCCTCCTTGTTGTGCTATCCATGTTGCGATTCTCTCTGAGATGATGAAACGCACCAGATCGCCGACAATCTTGTGAAAGAAATCCCCCACACTCGTCATCACGTCTCTAGCGATACGGTAACCGAACATGAGAAGCGCCGAAATACGCCCCCAGTTGATGCCCTTGATAAATAATCTAGAACAAACGAAGAGGGGGGGGGGGGGGGGGGGGGAATGAAATGGAGAAAGTACTAGTACATGTATTTAGAGCATGTTAGTGTTTGCCATGACAAAATGAAATGTTTTTAATGTCAACATTCCAATGAGATTTGTCATACATTTACATCAGATTTCAGACTTAACAATATCTGCTTTAAATTTATTTCAGAATAGCACGAACAAAATAAGACAAATTATGGTATAAAAATGAGTTTCTGATTCACTTTCAAATTTAAACTTCAGGCCTGCAGACATCACAAGGCGTAAACAAAAAAGATGTATTGCCCTTTGCGAACGACCCAAAAATCTTGAAATCTACGGTCGGCTTTGAATTCTAAAAAAATTATGTTTAATGAATACAAAAATATATATTTAAAGCATTCAAAAAATGAGAAACATCAGCCCAAAGAGGGAGGGGGAAAAAAAGGTTTAAAAAAAAAGATTTCCGACCGACCCATGTTTTGGCACCTACATGTAAAGGGCAATACAACATCTTTTTTTGTTAAGGCCTGATGGACAAATTAATAAAATGGTGAAAGAATGTTGATATACCTTCTTGCTACACCGGCGAATGCTTGATAGGCGGTTGAGGGGGTTATGTGTAGCATCTGGATCATCTGACGGAACTCTCCCTCGTACTGTGCATCTATTTGGTCTCCAATCTGAGCTAGTCTCCTCCCTACTCTCGACGTCGGACTGTGATTGGACACAAGAAGATATAATAATATTAATATTTAGTTTTTATACATGTATAGTGCTTAATACATTGTCTCTATTAAGCGCTTTACAAATTCCAGCCAGGCGTTACTTGACGCTCAAAAACTGTTTGACCAACAATGATGGTCGCATCCTACCGGGTACCCATTCAACACCTGGATGGAGAGTAGCAAGATATCAACAGGATAAAAAGATATAGAAATAAATGGGAATTCCAACAAAAATCCAGTGAAACTTGTGTCAAAATACCACTCTAGGTAGACTCAAAATGCAGTCTTTATAGCCAGGGGGTCTTAACATGTACATGTACATGTATACAGTCCAACCATCATATATACAGTTAACAAGCGTCGCCGTCACCAGAAAAGCGGCGCTTTTGTCTCCCTTTTTGCTACGCATTTGCTATCAAAAAAATGATAGAAAAAAATGTTGATGTAATTAGTTCTTAAAATTAAATGTGACAATGTGCATGTACAATGTACATGTACATATACATTCACATCACATCATGATGGATTAGCTGTGATGCATGCACATGTACTGTACAATGAATATTTCTACACTACACATGCATCATGGTGATACATGTAGGGGTGTAATTGTTCTAAACTTGTTCAGACAATGCCATCTACAATTCTACATGTACATCTCTGGTGCATGGATGCACATAAACCTACCAGTAAATGGTGTACTTGTGTACACTGTAGGTGTAATGTACTTCTGAACAGGACATTGCTATACTAATTGTTTATATTATATCTGGATTACTCTGTACTTCCTTGTCAAATATTTAGCACTCGACATACATGTACAGTGCAAACATTCACATTCAAGCTAATTCACACGTAAGAAATTCATGGTTCCTGTTTGGATTATCAATTCAAAAGAAAAAGAAAATGCAGTAAAACATGAGGAGTTTCTGTGCATGCATGCGTAGTGGTATGAATCATTGAAAAGTGAAGTACAGATGCTTGTTTCTTAGAAAACAAATATATTTGAACATATTGGGTGCTACAGTCCAGACTCCAGAGTCCATATTATTTATTATTATATCCTGCATCAAAAATTTGTTGGTTTTTGATTGGTTGAGAGCTTGTCACATGACCAGAAATATTTGACCTATTTTTAGAAAGTACTATATGAGAGTACTATTTTGGTTTACTATTTGGGAGTTGAAAAAAAAATGTGAATTTTATTTTGGAATTGAATTTTTTTTTTTTTTCAAATCTTAATTTAATGAAAAAAAAATATTTTAAATCTTTTTAGATAAAAATTGTCATTTTCGTTGTTCTAAATTTTTTTTCTTCCCGAAAATGTTTTTTTTTTTTTTTTTCTTTAAATAAATTTTTAATGCAGGATATAAAACAAATATACCATGCCTTCTATTCGAGGTGCTGGTTAAACTATAGGCCTCAGTAACTCCAAAAGTACCATTTGCTTCGGGGCTGCGCCCCTCAGCAAATAGAATATTGGAGTCACCTCTTGCGCATAGTTTTAACCAGAACCTCTCAAGGCAGTGTATATTTGTATAATATACCGGTAGTATATTTTCTACGTGCGAACCTGCATGAAACCAGTGGAAACTGCAAATACTGATTTTTTTCTTCACCATACAAAACAATCGGTAAGAAAATGAAAAAGAAACAGTCTCCTAAAGACCTGCTATAGGACTGTGTATAAAGTCAGGAACTAATGTGCAAAGAAATGCTCACATTCGTCACTTATTTATGGTTCAATCATTTTTTAAGGAAGTTATTCAACCATGGAAATTACTTGGAATTTCATTTCAATCCATAATTTTCAACATTGAAAACTTAAAAATGAATCTCTTCTTTCCCAAAAGATGTACTGTATGTGAACAAGAATAAAATGTTTGGTTTTGAATATTTGTTAGCATGCAAGATTTTTGTGGTCTTTCTTTCCTTTCTCTTTTCCTTTTTTTTTTTGGGGGGGGGGGGGTGCATACCAAAATGTCATAAAAAACTACATGTACGTGTACACATTGTTAATGTTTAAAATCAACACCAATATCATTTGATTAATAATAATGAATAATAATGATAAATAAATTGCAGTCAAACCTGTCTATCGCGACCACCCAAGGGAAACACAAAAATGGCCTTTCAAAACAGGTGGTCTTTGTATACAGGTTCCTTTGGTACATGATTCAATGAGAAACCATTTTCAAGAGAAACAACAGATGTGGCCTAAATTGTTGTAGACAGGTGGTCACTAAAGCAGGTTTGACTGTATAATAATAATAGTAAAAAAAAAATTACAAACGGTGCTTATCAAGCGCTTACCACCGAAGTCTTGAAGTGGACAACTATTCTAAATAAACTGGGAACTACCTTAAAGGGTCTGCAGTGAAATTCTGTAACTCTGGTATCCTAGGCGTTGATATATTAATATCATTCGTCTGATCCTGCATGTCCATCGCCAGCCTCTGGTGGAAGAAGTTTCTGACGATCATCTCCGTCTGTTCAATCACGTTCTCCTCCGTGTCCTCCTGCACCGTCTGGGTAATCGTAGAGGTACCCGTTGCCATGGTTATTTTTAATTATCGTCCACAACAAAAACAAGTTGATTTTGTTCAAAGTGTGCCAGCAAAGGCCTGCCTTTCTTCGTGTCTATCTTCCTCTTCAAACTCAGATTTCTATGTGAAAGTACCACAATTGTACTATCAGGTAAGTTTTTCCTGTATGCACATACACGATTCCCAGTGCATGGGGCCCCAGAAATAATTACAGGATACTGTACTGCTATTCTCAGTAGGCTAATAAAGCCTTTTCAAAAGAAATATTTCTCCTTTTAATAATCTTTACAGAATACATTTCCTGGTATCATCTCCGACGAATACAGAATCTTGTCCAATTTTAAGTGTTTCTCGCCCAAAGAAGTAATATAAAATGTAATTCTCTCTTTCACTTGCTAACAGTACAATGTGGTATGCAGTGTTCCACATACTCAACTACATGTAAATGTAGATATCTTCACACGTGGTATATAGGTGGTATTCCCAATTGGTGGAATTCCCAATTGGGTACACACAAAGCTCAAAGAACCAAGTTCTTGGAATGTCATGGACACACGTATGAATTGACAAAAGGGAAAACCCCCTTTGTAACGATCCTCAGGGTTCAAAGTCTACAGCAGTCTCTCTCTTTGTGAGCTTCTTTCTCAATTACGTCCCTCACTGGTACCTGTAGTCAAGAGAGAGAAGAAAAAAAGGAAAAAATTATTCCCCCCAAAAAATTATAATACCGTAAGTAATAATAGTATTACTATAATAGGCTTCATATCTACATTTTACAGAGGATAAAAGACACTGTCTCTTTAATAGTCCAGGGGGGTGTTCACACAAGATCCTAAGTAGAACTTAACTCTAAGTTGGACTTAAAAATTATGGACAGCCATTGGAGTCTTAAAATGAAATATATTCAAAAACAGAAATTCAAGTATTTTAGACTTTTTATTAATTCCACATCAAGAACATAGAATCTCCCATGATAATAGTAAATATGAATGATTTGAATCAACATTTTATGTCTTTTAAAATAACTTTTACAAAATGTTTCCAAGGATGCTAATGGCTTTCCATAATTTTTAGGTCCAACTTAGAGATAAGTTCAACTTAGGATCTTCGTGAAACACCCCCCAAAATGAGAATAGTAGAGGACGAGGTATGACCTTGTATATTTTATGAAGAAGTCAAGTAAAATATTATTTCTCAGAAATGTTTGCTCCGTAGGCGTGGGGCAACGGATTGCAAGGATTTGAAGCCAACCTGTATGTATGTATGCAGTGGGTACCGTATGTTCAAGCTTCAAGTTCAATAATCAAGCTATACAAAACATGTAACACTTCCTATAGTTGTAGTTTGCAATAATTCGACTATTTTTGCAGTCATAAGAGATTTGACTTACGGTACATGTCGGCAGAGTTAACTGTGCTGGTAATCAACATCAAATATACTTTCTATAAAATAAAAAAATCTATTTGCCGAAGGTACTGTTGAGTTGAATTTTTGCCTATGATTTGGACTGCTGGAAACCACCGAGAGCCTGAAGCTATACAGGTGCACAGGTATGCTTATCTTTCTTCCAAGTATTTTCGGCACACATCTACTGCACATGAAAAATGCCGGAAAAACATATATATGTATACATATATACTACAGAATAGTAATTCTACTCACAGAATACAGATATTTGAATGGGCTTCATCAATTATGTCTTTCAGAGAATTTGTAACAGGAAGAATGCAATCTTTCCTATTTCTTGGTAAAACAGTGCAAGACAACCTTGGCCATGACAGAGTATGCAATACTGACCAAAAAAACTTCCCTGCAAAACATGCTAGACTTCCTAGTCCAGACACCTCCTTTGTTCTTATCCCAAGCTATCATAACAAAGCCATGTCCTGGAACATTATCAACAAGCTCCTACTTGTTATTAGTCATCCATTGTTCTGTGGACAAAAGACTACCACAGCCCAGTCAGCTGGTAGACTTGTTTACAAGAAAGTGATAGTATACATGTAGTTTCCATTCGCAGACCCTTTCAAAATACATTTGTTTTTTTCATTTGTTTTTTTAATTTGTTTTACATGACTGCTAAGAAAGCATACATGTACATGATGGAAGGTAAGCAACCAGTGGACCAGGACTTCCAGTTCTCTCTGAGGGACTTGGTAAGGAGGATCAATGCCTTACCAAAGGGCACTAGTGTCTCAAATTGGTTTTGAACCCAGGACCTCCTGCTCTACCACGAAGCCATTACGCCTCCACTATGACTTCTACATTGAAAAATTATTGGTTTCATCATATTTTTCAAGACTGATACCGGTAGTAGAGTCAGTTTTCAAGGACTTGCTTGTAGATGCACACAACAAATAGAACATGCATTTGTAGTCTGTCTGTCACTAAAACTAAAGCAACAATTTTTTCATTTTTAACACAGATCAAAATTGAACATTTGAATTTATCTACATGTACATGTACCCTGCGACCATCACAATTCTTTCCCGTTTCACTTCATCCATTTGGACATAAATCACATAATCTTACATACAAATTACCATATTAAGTGTTGTACAGTACTAAACACACATACATGTATGTACATTTACATCAATTACCGATACATGTAAATTAAAGAAAAAAGTAACATTAATTGAAATCAAAAAGGCCTTTTGTTTTCTGATTTACAGCTAGCAATAGGGCTTACAAGTGCAGAAGTATATAGATCATATAAAGGGGCAAATAGGTATAATTATGAATAAGTTGTGCAACAAGAATGACCAGTGCTAATAGGGAACAGAGATGTATTATGTAGACTAAGCACTGTTCTGTGTGTAATACTTCAGTGTTGGGGATTGCACCATCCATGCTTCTAAATATAGTACAGTGCTTCCCAACATGTACATGTGTTATGAATGTCATCACAATGGACTTTGGCAAGTTTTTGTGTGATTAGATCATCTTTGTCTTTGTCATGCAGAGAAATTTCATGTATTCAAAATTAATTACAAATAAACTCTCTTAATACAGCACTGAACCAGATTATAGATGAGTTTGCGAGTGTGACTTGATCTACATGTAGTGTACCACTTCTACATGTATGTACATGTACATACACATGTACATGTTAGTTTGATATGAGATTTAAAGCCAAGACTATTAAAATAGTTTTTCTCTTTACTTACCCTCTCGTGACAATCATTTCTACATTTTGTGGTTCGGCTCAATAACTTTTCAATCAAGCCCTAAAATGTATGCCAATGCACGAGTAGAAAGGGCAAAAAATTCTGCACACACTGCATCCATTTTTTATTTCATGATAATATTTTGTTCGAAAACAGGAATTTTAAAGGAAAACTAAAATGAAATCTTAACTTGGCAACATGTTGGTTTAACCAAATGATCATAAGGTCTTACTCTACCAGGGTGCGGGGCACTGAGCATTTTCCTATGTTGAAGTTGGAGCGATAATAACGTGTACATGTACATGTATATCATTTCTCTTTCTGACTGCACATCTGATTAGTGGTAATTCCAAGATTAAGAGGGGGAGGGGGGGGGGGGGTGATGTAAGCGCTCATTCATACATGTACATGTTAAGGCTACTATACGAGTAGTCGAATACTTGAGTACTGTACTTGCACTGTTAACAACTACTCAAGTACGATTTCTCGTACTCGAATATCGGCCGCCATTTTTTTTTTTTTGGCCAGCACCTGGCACTGTCCAGGCCGACGCTTACCCGTTCCCGGGAGGCAGCGCCGGCATGGTACAGCGGGTAAAAGAAACTGGGACCAAATGTCAGGATTTCTGTTTGGACTCAGAGGAAAATGGATTATTCTGTCATCTTTGGTTTTAAAAACAGCATTGTTCACTATTATTATTATTATTAAGTCGGCGCCTTCAACTGCAACTCAAAGTAAAATCGTTTGAATTTCTGAGACGGACTTGGAATACTTCTCACGTAGTATGATGGTGGCAAAAACAACAAAAAAATAAAAATTCAACAAAAAAAACATTGCGTCCGAATATTCAAGTATTCGCCCTGTGAGCCTGGGAGTGTACTCGAGTACCTCATTACACGGTTATGCACAGCCTTTGTACATGTACATGTATATATTGATAGTGAGGTGAAATGTAATTTTGATATAAAAATAAAGGATCTGGGGCTAACTCGGAACCCGAGGACAATTCAGCCCGCTTCAAAAACAGTCATTTTTTTGTCATTTTACCCTAACCCTAACTCTTAAACCTGCAAAAACTGACCATTTTTGCAGCAGGGCCGAGGTGTCTCTGGTCCAAGTTAGTCTTACTCCAAATTATTCGCAATGCAAAATTAGCCATCGCATGATCCTCATTCTCGGACTAGCGACCCTACTGAAAATCAGAATCACCAGCGAAAAATGCGGACGATCCCTATTTTTTGGCGGACGCATCTGTCCGCAGGCCGCATTTACGAAGACGATCCTTGTTTATGCGGGAGGATCCTTATTCTCAGACAAGTGCCGCTACTGATCATGTCAATTTAAATAAGATGAATTAAAAATAAAAGAAATCATTTCACACTTCTTTTCACTTTCATTTGACATTTCTTTTTTTCAGTTTCAAATTCAATCAAATTGACTTTAATTTTGGAGAGAAATTTGTTGCAGGCCTTTCATCATGAATTCATGATCTCACAACCCACAACTGAATAGAAAAATTGTTGTGTACATATATCTGCTAAAGAGAAAGCATCAGTAATTCTACAATCTCTCTTCCATCTTTATTTTGTTTTTACATGTTCGCTAACATGGCTAATGTCACCCGCTTTCATTATCAATACAAATATTTCAGTATGTGGGCCCATACAATCAAACACTGTTCCACTCACTCGGCAAAAAGCGGCACACAATTACACATTTTATAGGATATCTACAAAAGCAGAAATACATTTATATCAGCATTTATATACCAACTTACCTAATTTTTAATCAACAACACGGTCTGAATACACTAGGTATCAATAAACGCAAAAATGATTCTTGTTGTCTTGTCGCATCACTCATTCAGCTTCCAATTTGTAATGCTTGCAAATATGGCGTGCGGTGAAATGACGTCATCACGTCATGAAAATACATGAAGCTCGCTCGATATCGATCCGATTGATAACTACAAAACAAAGATAATGAGGATGATGAAGGCTTTTGTCATAATTCTGTAGAAGTAAAGAAAATACAAAGTTTTAACGAATTAAAATACGAAAATATGAAGTAGAGATGATTTTTTTTGTTTTTTTTTGTTACTAGGGTGTCGTGTCGGTACAAACAATTTGCAAGAAGCATGAAGGGGCGGGCACTTTTAAATTTAAGTTACATTGTATTGGAAGGTTATTGACTTTCATGCCTCTAAACAAAATGGCAAATGGGACCAAATGTAATGTAAAGGGTACATTTGCGATCAATGCACACACGCACGTGTTCAATCATAGGGATAACTTCATTTGGAAATTCGAGGAGGGGGCAGCAGGGAAAACATGGGCGTGTCAAGTTTGGCTAAATGCTGTGAGGGAATGGGTGGCAGTAGGAAAATATGGGCGCGGTCAGTTTATGCTTTGATTCTGAGGGAATTGGGGTGGGGGGGGGGGGGGCAACCGTAAGACATTCCTAAAAAGCAAATAAAGAGATATACAACAAAAATACAAAAATGTTTTGATTAGTTGAGATAATCCCGTTTATGGACAAAGGGACGCTCGACTGGACATTGAGTGCCGAGGCAATTTCACCAAAATTGTTTATTTCACTGCGTATTTGATGTAGGCACGTTCGGTGATGGGGTTGGGGTGGAGCCAAGGGGGGGGGGGGGGCAAGGTTGCTCCTCCTGACAGATCCGTGATTCTTCATGAATAAAATGTTTATTATAAGCTGAGAATTTTTTGCCTCTCCTGAACCCAAGGCCGTCTAAATACGCAACTACAAGAATTGTGGTGTCACAAACAAAGAATTTTTTCATCTTGTATAATATAATCTGGGAGATATAAAATATTTAAAACAGATTTCATTTATTAGGCCTCCAAATGAAGGTCTTCGTGTAGGTCCATAGGCGCCGGAAGTTAGGGGTGGGGGGGCAGAAAAAAAGCAGTAAGGAGTAAAGATGGGGGTAAGCGGATACTTTTTTTTGGGGGGGGGGGGGTAGTCCAAAAAAAAATCGCAACGACTCGGCCAGCCGAAAAGTCGCTCAGTGGGGGGGGGGGG